CCGGCCGGCCGGGGCGGGGCCCAGCCGCTGCCAGTGGAGTGTCAGGCCTCGCTGCGGGGCCGGTGCATCCAGGGGGTCTGTCCAGGCAGGAGCTGCCTGGGGGGGCTGCCCAGGGGACCCCTGCCAGGGACCCGCAGGGGTGGGCAGGTTCCTGCTGGGGGGGTTGCCCAGCACGGCGGTGCCTGGTCCCTGCCGCGGAGCAAGACCAGCGCGTGCCAGGGAGCCGCGTGCCATCTCCAGCACGGCCCCGCCGCATCCGCACGGGCAGGACAGGCTGCGGCGAGCTGGTGAGGGCAGGACGAGCGGTGCTGCTGGGATGCCACGAGTAGGGGCAGAGCAGGGCTGGGCTGTGCCTGCGCTGTGGGGCCGGCGCTGCTGCGTGGCCGAGGAAGCGTGGGTGCAGGACCCGGCGGCGAGGCCGGCCACGCTCGCCATTGTTCAGTCCGGCAGCACTTCCTGCCCACAGCCCCGCGGGACGGGCAGAGGATTTCCTGGCAGGTCCGTGCTGCCCGCTCTCTCCTGCACGGGCGCTGCCTGGACTGGGGCACGGGGCGTGGGGCGCGGTGGCACCTTGGCCGTGACCGGCTCGGCAGAGCTGCCCTGGGCAGCGGCTGCGATGCCCATGCGCGGTGGGAGGGGGTACCGGCCCCGGTTCCGGCACCAGCTCCCTGCGGCGATGGGGTGCCTGGGGCCTGCACTGCTCTTGCCTGTCCTGCCTGCACAGGCAGCTGCCGCGTTTTGGGCAGGGGCTGTGCTCAGCGGGGCGGCGAGGGGAGGGGCTGGGCCCCCGCAGTGGGCGCCGTGGGGAGCAGGACTGCCGCGCAGGGGTGCAGCGGGCACTCCTCTTGCACTGCGCCTGGTGCTTGGCTTCCTGTGGCACAGCAGCTGGTGGCCCTGGCGCCGCGTGGGCAGCGTGGCCCCGCCAGGGCTAGGTCAATTTGGGCTGGGCTGGCCCCAGCTGGTGGCTTTGCAATGGGAGAGGTGAGGATCGTCCCTTCCCTGGCGGGGACAAAGTGCGGAGGGCGTGTGGCATCGGCATGTGCGGCGCCGGGAGGGGCCGGGTCGGTGCATGGGCGTAGACCGCGGTGCTCGGTGCTGAGCATCCCTCGCGTGCACGGGAGAGCCAGGGGGTGGCAGGGCCGGGTCCTGGTGGGGCCGTGCCGGGTGGGGGCCACAGCTCATCGCCCCTCGCTCTCCCCGCAGCCCCGGGAGAAGGGCAGGATGCGCTTCCACAAGCTGCAGAACGTGCAGATCGCCCTCAACTACCTGAAGCATCGCCAGGTAAGGGGGGATCATGGCGCTGCCGGGCTGGTGGGACCCCCCAGGGACCCCCGGGGCCGGGGCCTGCTCCCTGCCCTTGCTGCAGCCGCCGTGTGCCTTGGCCTCGCAGGTGAAACTGGTCAACATCCGCAACGATGACATTGCCGATGGCAACCCCAAGCTGACGCTGGGGCTCATCTGGACCATCATCCTCCACTTCCAGGTGAGCCCAGAGCCCTGGGGTCCGGCACGGGCACACGCCATGCTGCGGCCCGGGGGGAATGTGGCCATGGTGGGACTGGGGGCGGTGGCAGCGGCGCTAGCAGTGCCGGGAGGCTGGGGCTCTGCACACTGCAGGGGTCCCTGGTGCAGGTTTGGTCCCTGCGTGGGGCAGGAGCGGAGCAGTGGTGGGGCTGGGGCATCGCCGGCAGAGGCTGCGGTGAAGGTGGCAGCCGCCACGGTGCGAGCGCGCTCGTGCACGGCAGGAGCCGGTGGATGGCCCGGCGTAACCCCCCTGTCCCGGCAGATCTCGGACATCCAGGTGACGGGGCAGTCGGAAGACATGACAGCCAAGGAGAAGCTGCTGCTCTGGTCCCAGCGGATGGTGGAGGACTACCAGGGCCTGCGCTGCGACAACTTCACCACCAGCTGGCGGGACGGGCGCCTCTTCAACGCCATCATCCACCGGCACAAGTAGGTGGAGCAGAGCCAGGTCTGCTCCTTGCCGCTGTGTGTCAGGGCAATGCGCTGGGCTGGCCGGGGCGGGCAGTGCCGTACCTGCCTGCGGGCACAGAGCTCCCGTCTCCCTGGCAGGGACCCGGCACCACCAGCCCTGTCCTGTGGCGCCGAGCCTCCCTTGGCACAACCGTCCCCTGGCTGGGGCTCCTGGGTGAGCAGGGGCTCCCAGCCCCCGTGGTGGCGAGAGCAGCCCCCGGGGCCATGGAGGACCTGGCTCCAGTGCTGGCAGGACTTGGCTGGCGGTGCAGGGTGATGCTGGGCCGAGCCGTGCACGGGGCAGGCGCGTGCTCGCTGGGACCAGCCGCCGGCGAGGCCAACCGCGACGATTCTGCTTTGGGGGGCTGCAGGCCCC